CCCCAAAACCCCAAAACCCCAAAACCCCAAAACCCCATATGCATTTTTTAAAGTCTTAAGTAAATTATTCAATGAGTATGATAAAATAATATCACAAGGAGACAATTATGTTTTGTCATAATTAGGAAGTCTTACTTACGTTTAAATCTTTTTTTAAGAATCATTCAGTAATTATCTGTTTGATGTAACTGGAAAATTTGCAGCTAAGGCTATATTTACTAAGTTGTCTCATCATCAAAAATATAATACTAGAGTGGTCGTCTTTATTTTTTGAACAAAACTTTTTAACTGCTTTATCAAAGCCTTTTTTATCCACCCAATTTTCAAACAGTGTCCTTGTTAGTATATCGTCAAAAAACAAATCAAAGTTTTCTTTGTTCGGTTTGTCTAAGATTTCAATATACTTTTTCACTTAGCAGGCTTTCTCTTGACTGTCATTACTAAACAATGGAGAATTCTCATTATTAGAACCGTTCTTATATTATATAGCAGCTATCATAAGTACTCCGTTTTTACTTTTAATCTCAGCCTAAAACTTCTCACGTTATTATTGATTAGATATTTCAATTTCTTTGAGAAACTTTTCCTGTAGAGGTTTAATTTCTTATTTAAATATTTCATAATTTTCATGCAAATCTTTTCTCTTAACTTTAATGAAGTCTTTCATGAATTTCTTTTTCCAATAATTTTTATATGCTCTAAATACTTCTTTTTTCAATGCATCAGATTTCAATTTTGAACTTTCTTAGTTAATCTTAGGTTGTATTTATTTCTTGGGATGATCTAATTGAATTTGCAAACTAATTGATCCAAGATTAAGCTGAGTTGGTGTCTTAACTATATTCACTTAATAAACTAATTCTTGCACTGGAATATAGTCACACATTTTAGTAGTCTAATAAGTAGATTATTAAGCATTTTTATTCATATATTTCTCTAATTTCTCTCTTTCTATTTCATTATTTTATTGAGGATTGAATAGATTATAGTCAAAAATTTTCATTTCTACATCTGAATCAGCTAGTTTATCCTCTGAGTGTTTATCCTATGAGTAATTATGAAGAATATTAATACAAATAGGGTATATGAATGTTGTCTTGGAAAAGCATCATAATTATCTTCGAACTATAATTAATTTTTACTCCATTGATAAATTAGATGTTGATTACCTGAGGAGTAATATAATGCATTTCGGGAGAGTCGTAAGAAAAGTGTATCATTAAAGTTAATTTTTAACAGGAAAATATAGTTTAAATTATCAATAATCTAACTCAGTTTATATACTATTTTTTATGTTTAATTTTTTGATTTATAAAATATAAGTTACTCACAATATTTTCCTTAAAGGGGTTTTGGGGTTTTGGGGTTTTGGGGTTTTGGGG